TCTCTCTGTGTGTGTGTGTGTGTGTGATTATTGTTCATATTCTTATCATGCTTTTAAGCCACGACATTCTTCCTCGCTTTGTCTCTCTTTCTCTCGTTCCTTTTCTTTGCCTTTGTGCCGCTTATGCGCTTTCGCTTGCGTGTTGGCGCTCTCTCTACGTATTGCTGCTGCTCGCAGGGAGGCGAAGGCAGCAACGACCAGACGCAGCAGGCCCATCTATTTCCGCCCAGCAAGCAGGCGCTGCAGCAGCAGGAATAGGGGAATAACAGTAAATAGGGCAGAGACGGAGACTTCGGTGAGAAGGAACTGCTAAGGAACCAAAATAACAGAAAAAAAAAGAAAAGACAACAGGCGGCACACACACACACACACACAACAGACACGAACAGCATCAATGCCCGCGTCTACCCAGACGAGGAAGGAGGAGGCGGAGCTTCGCAAGATAGCCAGGCAGTCGCGCCTCTCCAGAAAGGAGGCTGAGGCGAAGGAGCGACGACAGCAGCAGCAGCGACGCAAGAAGGCAGCCGCTGCCGCGGCACAGCCCGGCGGAGACGCAGGCAGCAGCAAGACGCCCAGCACGCACAAGCGTCAGGCCGCCATTATTCTCCCCAGTGAGGTGGAGGAGTTGCGGCAGCGGCTCTTCGACAATAGCTCCTCCCCCAACAATGGCCGTGGCACTACCGAGAGTACTACTACGACTAGCAGCAGCGCCAAGACGAAAGGAAAGAAGCGGCAGCGTACTGCTTCTGCTTCTTCTGCTGCTGCTGCGCCGGCGCCAACGTCGTCGTCGGCTCTGCCGCCGCACTTCGAGGAGCCGCCGTACAGCATGGAGATCCACCACAAGAACAAGCAGGTCCTCGTTGACGTGACGCTTCACCGCATCCCGCCTGCGCACGTCGACGTGAGCGAGACGACCGACACGATGCTCGTCGTTGACACGTGCCGCCACACGAAGAGGTACCGCCTGATGCTACCCATGCCGGAGGGTCTCCGTGTCGACGCAGCGCAGGCCACCTGTGAGCTTGACAGCACCTGCGGCGTGCTGCACTGCGTGCTGCCGGTGAGGGGCGACATCCCCGCCGTGCTGCAGGAGGAGCGGACGAAGATGCTCGACGCCATCCGGAAACAGAAGACGCTGCGCTTCCGTATCGATGCTGACGGCGAGCTGAAGGTGCGAAGCCGCCAGGCGCTCCTCGCCCGTAACGAGCGGCAACAAGCGGCGAAGGTGCAGGAAAAAGACATCGCGCAGGCGAGCAGTGACGCCGTGGAGGCGGCAGAGGAGGCCGACGTCGTAGCGGCAGAGGTGCAGCCGGAGAAGAAACGAGCCAAGAAGGAGGCTGCCCCCAACCCACGCAGCGGCAACAGCAGCGGTAGTACTGCGGCAACGGACAGCTCAGGAAAGGGCACAGGCAAACCACGCCAAGAGCAGAATCCCAAGCAGCAGCAGCAAAATAGGCCCGCGAGGAAAACGGCCGGCGACGCGCTGGAGGAGGAGCGCAAGAGGGCGATGGAGATAGCCCGGTCTGCCGGCAAGGCCGCCCAGCTGACGCTGCGGGAGCGTGTCGCACAGGCCAAGGCACAGCAGAAGAAGGTTCAGGAGCGGCTAAGTGTTCGCAGCACCCGACGCAGTGCGCGGTCGGAAAAGACGCAGGAGTCTTTCGCCCGCGTGCTGGAGGAGCAGAAGCGGCAGCTGCTGGCACGCGCGGAACTGAACGCCTCCATCGCCGCCGCTGATGCGAAGGAGAAGTCAGGCCGGAGGAGGACAGGAAAGGCCGTCACCTTCGCGGAAGCGAAGGAGTAAAGAAGGGTGAAAGAGACGATGCTCGCAGATGTCAGGGCAAGAGCAAGAGAAATACAAGAAGAATGAAGAGATGGAGCGGAGTGGGCAGTTGCTGCACCAGCAGCATGTACCATTGCCTCTTCAAAAAACTTCATGCGTAAATACGCTAACGCGCACTAAAACATAGCGCGTATATGCTCCGTTTAACGTCTAAACAGTTGAAGGAATAACAGCAGCAACACCCTCAAGAAGAATGCCAAAGAAAGAAGGAAGCTCCCGAGAAGAGAGGCGTCGTGGAGGGGAGAGGGTGCAGTCCCCTTTTACACTGCTAAAAATGACCGCAGATGGGCAAAGAGAGCATTGAGGAATGAGCGAGGGTGGGGCGTGGATATTGGCAACCGACGGAGGCGCGATGCAGTTTGTAGCGCCGCCCTCCTGCTCGCCTCCTCTCGCCCGCACTCACTTATTTGGCATGCCGCGGTGACGGCAGGGGCGGTGTGGCTGCAGATCGCAACTCAGAGCTCATGCAAACACTGAAAACAACAAAAAATCACATACACACACACACACACACACACACACACACACAAAATACCCACACACAGTCATTGCAACTCTCTGTCTTTCTGTCCTTCTCTCTCTTTCTGTCTGTGTGTTTCTCGCTTATTTTCTGCGCTGCAGAGCGCCCATGCGAAGAACAAGGCGACTCTTGTCAGCGGACACCACGGAGGTCCCGGTGAGTGTGGAGGAGCCGCACACCAGCGGCGTGACGGTCGCCAATACGTGGGCGCCGCCGTACGCTGTCGCGGTTGCTGCTGCTGTCGCTAGCGGCGTGACGGAGGACGACACGGCGCCGCCGCCACTCAAGCGGTTTAAGCTGCCGGGCGAGGTCCTGGCGCGCCTTGGGAAGACAGCAGCAGCAGCAGCAGCCAACGATGGCGAGGACAAGGCGGCGGACGTGGCGAATGACGATGTCGCAGGTGTGATTCAGTTGCGGCGGGCTGCGGCAGCCAAGAAGCGCGCAACGGCGGCGGCGGCGGCGGCGG